CTCCAATCTTCCATCGCAATCCTGCGATACGCGGCGGGTGCGGCGTGTGCGACGCCGTGACAAGGGAGAAGTTCCCGCAACCCCCATTCACCGTATTCCCACCACCATGGACTCAAGGTACGTAGACATCTTGGAGGAATGGAATCTACGTTTTGCCCTTCGCGTCCACGGCAGAAAATTTACATTTCCATCATGATAACACGACCCTAAATAGATTGACGAAGGAAGGTAGCTGACTTATTGGAAGGTTCGATGCCCGACTGGCCCTATCAATCCTCTGACTTGAACATCATCGGGCCATTGCGGCAGGATCTCAAGAAGAGGATGGCCGGTGAAAAGTAAAAGAGCCACAAATGCTGCTTAGAAGTTTGCACAATTGGAAGAAGAACTTAAGAAAATTGATCAGTGCCTAATCGTTATGTTGGTTGAATCAATTTCCAGCCGATGCTAAACCGTAGTTCGCTGCAAAATATTAGACTTGTGATTAATTAGGTTCTAATCTCGTGATCATAGCATTTATTCGTTCACCCATGATGATTTATTTCAAATAGTTGAAACCGTTTTTTCCGGAGAAAATGTTCAAAGTGGCCTGCTCACCCAAATAGTGTGAAAGGAAGTTTTGTGAGTCCTCAGAAAGTCAGCCAAAACATTCAGTCCGGGTAGAGTTATGGCAGAATAGATCCATGGCAATTCCCTTTGAACACTACTGCTACGTTTGGGTGATGAGTCTCAGCCTCAGACAAATGTAGGAGGCGATCAAAAATCAACCGAAATAAGGGCGCGCTAACGCCCTAGCCGAACCTTAGTGTAATGAAGCGCTTGCGTCTGTCGGTTAGGAAATACTGTATAACTTCAGGAAACTTCAAGTAAAGGGCCCACTGATTGGATTAAATAATTCCATGATTAAATTCCACCCAACCAGAGAGAAAGAGAGAGAGTAGAAAATCTGGTAATGAAAAAGAATCGAGAGAAAAGAGCTAGGCAAGCCCATAGATTCGCGTACGTTAAGCAGAGCGTGTACTGAATTGGAAGATCCTTTTTCGCGGTTCTTTTATACATGCATCGTTGTGGGCGAGAGCATGATCAAAAGATTTATGACTTTTTGCAAAGCATTCTTTGTTGTGATGCACAAATTAGCGTGCATAGCGCGACAGACATAATGTGGCTTTGAGCTTTGCTTCTCTATTCGAGTACAGTGTTTTAATCGAAATTTTCAATTTTGACAGTCACACTCTTTGTATCGTTTTATCCGAGCTATACCGCAATTTCTTATTTGATGGGGTGTATTAAGTTGATAGTGCGCCCCATTTTTCATCAAGAAATTTAATGCACACTTAAATGGAGGTCCGTTTTACCCCTGCAACATGCAAATTTCAAGCACTCTGCAATTCATTCGTTGAAGCGTATCAAAGCTTAATGCTGTGTAGCCAACAGACATTATTTTGTAGCGGAACAAAATTTTAATTCACCACAATGTGCTCCTTTCACATGGACTAGATCATTTGAGGAGAATGGAACGGTGGTGGACATTTAAATAATTTTAGGTTTTCAATGAAATGCCACTCTGCGCAGTTGTAAGCAATCGTCTACTGTGTATGCATGGAGGAATCTCTCCAGAAATCCAAAATTGGGATTCGCTAGTTACCTTGCAGGTGTCGCTAAAGTTCTCGAATCACTCGTATCCTTTCTTTTTTTCTTAATAAATGAGAGCCGTAGAAAACACTCCAATCGAGAGAGGCAATAGCGATTGAAACCATAGATCCACTTTGGAATGGCTTACCTTCAAAGTACATTTCCAGATTCGGTCTAGAGGTTCAGTTGTCAAATCCAAGTGAGATCTCATGATTTCATTTGTCAAAACCAAGTGAGGTCTCATGAAAACAACTAATACAGTGTGTTTCAAAAGTATGTGCACACCCAACATTTTGTTTTTTTGGGGATACCATTGCTTTCTGTGTCCTGTGACCTTTACCATTGGATTCCTTGTGTGCTACAACCTTCGAACACTTTCTCTGAGAAAACATCGTAGCTGCTAACATAATTTTTTATTTAAGAAAAAATTTTCCTTTGTTTCAAAAGTATGTGCACACTTAGCAAAAAACAAAAATATAACCGAGATC